TGATTGTTGACTCTTAGTGACGGCTGAAAACCGGTCACAGTGGTGCAGGTGTATGTTCACTCTGACGTCCTTTAAAGCTTGGATATTCACACTAACCTTTATCTGCAGATTGTTTATTCTATCACGCAATTTTGTTCACTTCGGTATCACTCTTATTCTATCCATCTCCATATACTAGTGTAAAATGTGGCAACCTGTCTGTCTGTGTATAATATTTGAAAACTGTGGTAGAATGTAATTTTTTATTAGATTTGTTTATTTGATATAGCACATTGATACAGTATTTGTAAGTCCTATCATCTCGTATTACTGAGATGAAAAGACTAGGAAAATAAGATGTGGAAAGCTGTGTGATTACTTTGAAATGATTATAAGCAATAATGTATGCTCGAATGTTCAGCGAGTAAATAATACTGCGCCATTGTGTTCTATATCAAATAAACAAATTTAATATGGAAATTTGGTGTGTCAACCACTGGTAAGTATGCGTAAGTTCCAGAAACTATCAAAGGGCGAAAATCTGGTCGATGCACCCTCACCCAAGTCTGAATCCTACCTGGTCTTCTCGAGCTCCAGCTAGGCGTCTGACTACTATGGACCGTAGGGTCTTAGAAAAAAATTAGTCAAACTAATACCCTTATGGCTGTTATAAGAATACTTCTGTCTTTACTTCAGGACTGGGATGATCAGTGAAGTAAATGTCTGACGAGACTACCGTTGATTCCCATATACTACGTAGTGCCTCCGTTACTCTACTCAGTAATTGCGTACCTGAGAGGTTATTAGGATGCCATCTTTGTCGGTGATGGCTTTACTAACCATCTTCTTCTTGCTGTTATTCTTAATAGGCCTAAAACATTGTCAGCTATTACTTACTGCTGATGCCCGCTTCATCTTTCTTGCTTTCACTGCTCGCTATCATTGTGAAGATTATTTATCAGTTAGCATCTAGGTTGCTTTCGCTGCTCACTGTGGTCAGAGCCAGCTGAAATCAGTCTTTTCGGATGAGATCGAGGGAATTCACAGACGTTTCCTGACCTTTCGATTTAAGTTACCAACTGTCTTTACCAGTGTTTCTACAGCACATTGAATATTATGCCGGGTTTCCTCAGGATAAAGACTGCTGTCACGTCCAGACAAATTCTTAGTTATCCCCTCCCTAAATACGTAACTGACGTCCTCGTCTTTCATTCGATCACAGAGAGGGTTTACTATAGCCTGTATCCTGCGACCAATAAGACGCAGACATACACGGGCCCGTACTAACGGATGAGTCCAAAGAAGCACTCCAAAAAGTGGCAGTCTTCCCCCGATATCCTCCAACAAGAGCTCACAGCAGCATGGTGTATCTGTGTTCATCGTTGGTTTGAAGTCTGCAGTGGCTGAGACAGTGCTTTTCCCTACGCTTAAAGTCAGTACTGGCTAGACATGAATGACTGTCAGAAAAAAACTGCAATAGACGTTCACCGTTGTCGGTTCTTTGGCATAGGATTCCGCAGATACCTACAGCACGTCTCTGATTGGCTCGACTTTCTTATTTGAACATTGAAGTCACCTGTTATAGTGACTAAATGATACAAACAAAATTCACAGCTTCTGATACAATTCATCCTTTGCACCATCCGAACTGCAGCCGGCGTGTGTGTAGGCGATCACAAATAGGCATTGGCTAGTCTCCTGGTCTTTCCTAGTTCTTACACATTCAGTCGAATAGCACATAGACGGCTGCTGACTGGTATCCAGTCGAAAAGCGCACTTCCTGCTTTGCAGCTGAGTGTTATGCCTATACCAGCGAGTCCACGAGAACTAGCCACTGAATCTCCGTATACTTGTAAGGTGAATTTCGAAGATTTGCCGCACTGGACAGATGAGGTCAAATAAATAATTACACCTGAGCTATTCGTGTCTTAGAGACAGCATACATCCATCTCTCGAGATCGCAGTCTATGCGAGCCATACTTGATGTTCGTTTTGGCATGGAGTTTGGACGTTAAAAGCTGTAATATAAAATCGACAGCAGGGTCTTAGAAAACTAGGAATGATGTTTCGATGGCTTTGATCGTTCGCAATGGTCGCTAAATAAGAGGTTGAGAAAGTTACGAGATGCTTAAAAATATTAATGTCAGGAGGTGAAGGCAGAGTATGAGACAGATAATGGGGGTAGGTTATATTTGACCGGATTTCGTATACTACTGGAAGCGTGCAGGCTGTTGATACTTCCTGGCTGCCCACACCATAGAAGTTGTTTCTACAACGTACCTGAAACAGGAAAAAAGAAAGATTTGTGCTACTGCAAAGTCCATAGGATATCTGATTGAGACTGGTCACATGCAGTCTCTTACGGGTTGTTATTTTGAGATTTGGTGGTCTTAGCTCCGGATAGGAAAGCCCACCCCACTGGCACTAGAAGACCCACCTACCTTTCCATAGGGAAGGTAATATCAACATGGGTCTACGGGTTATTCACCTAAACACCTTACTGCTGTAACCCTCGTCCAGCCAGCAGTACAACTTCACCATAGGACCCCCATCATAACGTAGCGATTTACACTATTATGGTAACTGCTTATTGTCTAACTATCCAACAGACCTTCATGGTATGGTAGGACGTCGAGAGAACAAGCATACCAGTCACTGTAGCTCGTCAGTTCATTGTGATATACACTCCCGACTACCACGTCAAGGTAGCAGCTATCAGTCAGGGTAAAGTCAAAAGAAAAGAGGGCGACCTTCATGGTCACGTCTGTGATGAAGTTACATGAGGATTGAGATAGTGGACATCCTTGACAGGTACCACTCAACGTGCATACAACTCATCTGATAACTCACATGGTGATGGGTTTTCGAATACAGAGTCTTCAACAGAGTAATATACTGACTCAGGACACCTTCTATTGAGACACACTACCGCTAGACTTCTCGATCGACGGAGTCGAATCCTACCATCAGGTCGAAAAATGCAACTAATGTCGGGTATCGGTAAGTATGCTTGTGTTCAAGGACCTGGTGAGGGTGAATACCGTGTCTGTGCACTCACGGCTAGGTTTCAAGTCTGCCTAGTTTTATGAGGTTTTCTAGTCATGAGCACCCAGACATCTGATATTTATAGAACGTAGAATCTTCGACACTATATTCATCAGGCTGATCCCTCGTGGTTGTCACAAGAGGGCTTCTCACCTTTCTTGAAGACTATGACTGTCAGTAATTGATACCAATCAAAGGGACTTATATCTGACTCTCATAAGCTAACCGACAATTCAGTTAGTTTGATTAATAATCCCCTACCACTATCCTTTAATACCTCGGGTACTGGTACCCTTTCCCTTTTTCAGACTACTTTATAGCTTTTTTGACTTCTGTAATTGTTGGGGTCCTATTTCAATGTTTCGTTCAGCATCTGACTGGTTAGAGGGTAGTGGAATAGTAGCTGGAGCCCATTTGAACTGTTTCTCGAAGTGTTCCAGTCGTCTCCTCGGCGAGTGAATCACAGGCCCAGCCTTCTTGGCTATAGTCCGACCAACCGTAGACCTTTTCGCTTGAGTTTCCATGATAATTATCAATAAGTACCTATTGTTACCTATCGCGTCTACTTTTTCCATCTTTTTAACCTTCGCTACCCACCACTGTTCGCGGTCATTGTGTAGACCTTTTTCAGTTTACACTTAAGTTACTTCCACTCCTCATTGTGCTCAGAGCCTGCAGGATGATGTTTGCGTACCTCCATTAATTCGAAAAATCTGCTGAGTCCCACTGGCCTTTTTCAACCACTCTCTGATAGTCGGCTACGGTCTTCTGGGGCTTTTTTCCCGGTGAACTGGAGGTTGCACCAGCATTTTTCTATATGAGTGATATTTTTTTGTTCCGATGAGTGTCTAGCAAGCTTCTCATTTCAAACATCCTTAGTGCCCTCATTGTGGAGCTGTACTCACGGTTGTCTTGTCGCTAAAGATTTTCTGCATCCATTTAGTTGCAAACATACCCGTGCTCGAATCAACCTGCGGTCACTGTCGAAACACGTGTTCCAGAAGGGGCGGGAATCTTCTACCTACCCTCTCGAGGGATGTGATAACAATATGGTCTATGTGTGTCAACCGCTTAGTTGAAGTCGGTGGACACTACATCAGACAGTGTTTCTCTTTATGTCTGAAGTTTCTGATAACTAGAAATAGATGGTTTTCTGGGCGCAGCTGTAGCAGGTCACCGTTATCTGTCCGTTTGCCTGGGATTCCGAAAGTGCCACCTCAGTACTTTTCATCCTGACTTAACCTACATTTTTGTGCATTGGGATCACTTGCAGCGACAACCATATCTGAACGTTTGGCTTTCATTAGGAGGCTAGACAGTTTTCAATAGGACTGGAGTCAATGGGTGCGCAAGTAGATATTGCAAAGAGACAACACTGAGTTTCACTACTATTTCTAGTCCTCACTGAAAAGCGCATAGGTTACTGTCAACTGGGATCCAGTCAAACACAGCACTTTCTAGCACTTAAATCTATGCATACATCTGCAAGACCGCAAGAATCAGCCATCGAATTTCCAAGAAGTCGATGGCTGGATTTTGAGGATTCACCATATTAACAGGTTAAGTGATTAACCGCACTTGAGCCCTGTATACGTGTCTCGCAAACACAGTATTTATTCGTTTCCCGAGATATCAGAGTCTTGGCTAGCATTGCTTGTTGGCTGATTTGACGGAGGGTGCGGATATTGAAAGTTCCAATGTGTTGTGTAGAGCACGATTTCAAGAGACCAGGGATGCTGTTCCAGGAATTTGGGTTGTTTTCAAAAGCTACAGAGCGGGAACATAGTAAAGGAAAATAGCAAGATGCAGTTTATATGCATTCTTCTGTGTTAAACTGGATATTTCTCAGCATTGCATCATTTTATGTTCAAGCACTTACTTAAAAACTCCTACCTGTATGAATTATTTATTTATATCGCGTATTTTGTCTTTGCCACTAATTTGTGCGCAATTAACTGAAGTGTCTTCATTTTCAGAAGCCATTTAGCCATACCATTTGATGCACCAAATTTCGTTGGCGTGTGACTGATGAATTCCCATGGATTGGTCTGCTATCAAGTGTGTATGCTTAGACGTAGACTCTACAGTGTGTATTGACGAAGGGTTAGATGAACTGGCCAATTACCTTGGAGTTAGTGATAAGATTAAAGAGATGTAAGCGATAATTTCACTATAATTGCATTCGGATAGCACTAGAATGGCTATGAGTGGGAAATTGGATTTTACTGAAGCTTTAAAAACCCGTTTATCAATAATGAACTTGAATAAGAAGACGTTAAGTGAATTTATGGATAACTATCCAGTTAAACTGACACCAGGAATTGAGTAAGTCTATGTTATTTTACCAAAGGTTCAATTTAAAATAATGATACAAATTTTGTCGTGTCATATTTCTCATACATTTTGTTATTTGAAGTAAGTTATAACTTAAAACGCAGAATTCTTGGCTTACTTATACCACCCGATCATCTCCTCCGTCTCCCTTTGAGTGAAACTGAATGCATCTTGCATTGCCACCAGATGCATATCAAGAAAAGGCTGGCACAAGAATAAGTTCTCTGCGGTGCTATGTGTGCCAACCTGTCCGACTACGTCTGGAAGATTTTGAGACGTACGCAGTTTATCAACGGTTCCATATGTGCTGCCAACTTGGGAAAGTTTTTTTGCATTTCATAAGGTAGGTTTAAGTTTATAATTAATGACCTGATAAATCAGACTAAGAAAGCTTGGTAGTGCGAGTTGAAAGCGTCTTGGGAGTTGATTCGTTCCCCAAACATAGCAGATGTATGTTCCACGATCTAAAATGCTGCTGTGCCGAGCACTAACTTGGACTTAATGCTTTCATACTCTGTTTCTGTCAGACAGCTCATCCAAGAGCTGTTATCGTAAGCTATCAGATCCAACTCGTAATTGTAAGTCAGAGACCCCTGTAAAACCACTTTACAACCTTCAATATATTTCGCGTAGGTATACTCTGATTGAGCTGATCAATTTATTGATAAGATGGTTCCGTTTTTCTACTAAGTACTGTGTTAGATTTTGTGTTGCCCTTCCTGGAAGTGAGACATTTGGTCGAAGAAATACATCTGCTTTGTGAATCTTCGGTTTTCGAGAGAATCTTAGAAGTATGGGTTCGTTGGGTCTTATTTTCCACTTATCTACTTTGTTGATTTATCCTTCTTTGAAAAGTCTGTCCAGTGTATGCCTCATTTTATAGTCAAGCTCTTTGCTCGTATGTTGTTTCTTCTTGGAGTAATTCTGTTGCCTTTCGGATATATTCCGTTTTGTCTAGTACAGTTGTTGTACTGAACCAATGTAAGTGGGGTGATCTTCATCATTTCATTTAAAGAAAAAGTATGAACCAATCACAACGAAGCGATCTCAACGCACTGCAAGCATACAAAAGAAATTAACCAAATTGCATACTTGTATACTCCTCTGAGAAAACTAGAGGTAGGAAGTCAACCAATCAGGTTCAACGTAGCCCGCGCATTTTCCCAGTGACTAATCAAATAACACTCAGATTGAGTAGCAAAACCAATTACTTTGCTTTCTAATGAACCTCTGATGCACTGATGATCCTGTCTAGGATGACGTTAGAATGTTTGCAAACTAAAACTCCAACTCAGAACAATTCACGCTGAACGAAATTAAAAATGCCAACCACTTAAAATGCACAGTGTCTCATCGACTGAATTTTATGAAATAAGTTATTCATCTTCTTAGGTCTGCACATGAAGGAATTAAAATGTGAGATGATTTTATAAACTGAAAACTATTTCAAAACCATGTGAAAAATCACAAGATTGCCTTAAGCTAAAGCAAAAAGGTGTGCATCGTTGATTTGTGTTGCTTTTTTAAGAACCTACAAATTCAAACTGCAAATCTTCCAATCCGGCTATCATCAAGGTGAATATCCACCGACGTTTAATATCCGTGTATAAGATCACTAAATTAGTTTCAGTATACCTTGTTGCGTTCGACTAAAATCAAATCTTTCAACGATCGAGGTTCTCATTTTAACCCTCATTCTAATGCATTGAAACTAATCTATAAAGCAAGGCTATCTCAGATAATCTATTGTCCCCACTTTCTATTTCATATGGATTTAGATAAGACTGAGAAAACCTGACTTGAAAGCTAATACAGTGATGGGTATAAAACAGTTACCTATCACTTGTTCACACGAAAGTTGGATAAAATTTGTCGTTGATTAAGATGGAATTGAGACATTGTTGACGGTCAATTCCCTTAACTCAGTCGATGGAGTATCGAACTGGTTATTTGAAGACCACTTCTTCGAATCATGCCATCCTTGAAGTTTTCATCTCAACTCAAATCTTTGTGATTCTTACACATTAACTACTGTAATAACTCTTTGTGACTAATATTAGTGATGAATCGGTAATGTACCTAGTAATTTTTTGTTATTTTTACACAGAAAACTTATCCAACAATTTAAGGAGAATGGAATTCACATTTATTTAGCAAGTGGGGGTTTGTATCCACTGGTCAATCGTGTGGCCAAGCTATTAAGTATTCCTGAAGAAAATATTTTTGCAAACAAGCTGGTTTTTACTAAGGAAGGTAATGTTTACTGTTGAAGGTTTCTACTAAGATGGTATAATTAAATATATGCACACAATTCAGCTCATTAACCTTTGATGTAAGTAAATTTTCTTCTTTCCTAACTATGGTATGGAATCCAAATTCTTTATATCAGGAAATGGATATATAATTTATCCTCCAACAAATTTACAACTACCACTGTACGTGGAAAGAGTAGCCCCAATGATTCATCAATTACAAGGTTATTTACTTAATTTTATGGGTGATGAGAACGACAATGATAGCTACAGTGTAGGATTGTTTATCAAACAAATCACATTCAGTACGGATAAGTTATTGCAACCTTACATGAATGTTATCGTTGCGAAAATCATTCATGTTCATCTTGTAGCTGTGTTTTCCTTCAGGCTTTTGACATTGCTAACCAATCTACTGTTTTTCTTCCAAGAACATTCATCAGTCGGTCGTTTTCTATTTATAGCTTTCGTAAAAGACGCCTTGCCGTATAATACTTTAATCCATTCTTACTACAAGTGTAAATCACATGCGTGGTGCCTTTTTCCGTTTTAAAATGTGTACGTGCACGTTTTAACGTGAATAATTTCCTATTTCTGGCAGCTGCAGGCTAAAGTTGCTAAAAACATAGCAGTCAACTTCAACCGTATAGAATCACAAACTGACCTTGACTTCATGTACATTACCAGTACGCCAAGATAAAGACTTTTATTTTTCACACAGTACAAACATAAAGGCATTAGATATGTTTAAATGATCAGCAGAAACTGACTGTAAACAAAAGCTGGATCATCCAGCCAGGCAAACAAGTTACGAGTGTTTCAATAGCTGATGAGAAAATATTTTACTGGATATGAGTCTTGAACTCATCCATAATAGTTGATCCTCGCTACTGTTTGTTAATTTGTAACTTCCACGGCTCTTTACAGCTGTTGGGAGAGTTGTACCTCGTTTGTAAAATTTACACATCATTACTCACTACCCGTTAGAGTAATTTTCGTTGTGTATATCTGGGTGAAGATCATTGTTAAATTTAACCTTTGTATTGAAGATCAGTTCAGCGGTTGATTTGATTGCTTTTGAGTGTTAGATTAGCTGTCCATATGTATAATCTCAGTAGGTACCAAAGTGTCTTGGTCAACTCTTTTTGATTGTAAATTAATTTCGATTTCACCATCTAGCTGATTATGAGTGAAGTATCTCCTTTGACATTCAAAATTACACTTTCCATGCGAGTTAGAAACGGGTTAATTAAACGGATTTTTAAGAATAACATTACTTTTAACATCTTACTGTTTTAGATAGGATAAGGTAAATAGAGGGGAAGTATAATTATATTAAAACTTGTTGATCATGTACTTGGAGCTTCACAATGTCCGTTTTATTTTCAGCACAGGGAGAGATGGAGAAAATTATCAAGTCTCTCGGACTTTTTTCTCCAAAAAGCTGTTGCCTTTGGAGTTTGTAGGGTCCACAATATAAAGAAAGCAATTAAAATCAAGTAACAGCATTGTGATCTTGTTGAACTATATAGTTTGATTTGCGATTGCTTACCAACTGCAGTCCATCGACGTTATCACACTACTAATTCCTTCTTGACAGCGTCAAACAAGTTTAGTAAAACTCGTTTCGGGGGCGTCTTATTACATACCTCCTATTTTGACTTCTGCACAGTGGCTGTCATTAAAATCATATTAATTCGAATGTACGTGTCACATATGCAGTCGGTGGATTGCGATGTTTTGAAAGTTACCTATCTTTAAAAACTATTACTTGGTTTAAAACTAAAAAGAAATCATATAAATTACAACTATATATATATATATATATATATATATATATATACATATATATAGTGTAATATAATATAGTATATATAATATATACTATTTTCAACTAGATCCTTTTCAAGCTTTACTCCTACATAAATAGCTAAATATATCGAGAAATTAAGCCAATCATGTAGATTTGTCGGTCAATGTGATGTATATTACCAGAACAACCGTGCTAATAATAGACAATAACGTTGCCCAAAGCAGTTGTAATCTACGTGATGATGATAAGAACCAAGAAAACAGCTTGGTAATGTAGACACACCGATAATCAAAGTGTATCAAAAGTCATGTGAATACTGTAACGAAATAGAGAATAACAAATATGTAGTGTTACGTCACGTTTGGAAATGACTATCGGTTGTAGTATGAATAAAAAAGGGCGTAAAACTAATAACGTGAGAAAATAGATGTTTATCAATGTAGTGACAATATAGAAGAAAGGGATGGGAGGTTAAAATGTACAATTTGTGATGGGAAAGGTCATAAAGAATGTGTCGACCCTGATGTGGGCCAAGGTTAACAAAGTGAATGTACACATAGGTTCGGTTTTCTTGCCTTGATCCCTATGGCTTCGGCTATGGATAAGAAGCGAAGTCCTGCACCTTTAGGGAGATTTCGAGGGACACAGTTTATTACAGAAAAGGCGTGACCTAAATCTGATGTCCGGTATCTACTAGATGTGAGAGGATTGCACTGTTGATGCTCTTTGTCATTCCTTTCCCTAACCAAAATGGCACATGTTCACGAACGCGTGGATAGAGCCTTTCGAGTACGGTCTATGTAACTAGCTGCGCAGGGGTAGTTGAACTCATAAATGCACATTGAAGTAGCAATCATAGGTAACCTATCCTTGGTTCGCTGTGTCAGTAATGGTTTGGTTGAGAGGCTAACAAAAAGTTTCGCTGCATTGAATTTCCTTTCAACTGATCTACTCAATCGATGCGTTAAGATATCAGAGGCAATATCACCTTCCAAACTTAGTCTGAGATATATAGGCATCTTAGCAACCTTGTCACGGGAAGTTCTTTAGGTCCCCTCCTAGCTGACATTTATGTCGAGATGTTAATAGATCAAGTCCATCTGTATCGTTGATATATTGACGATATCCTGATTATCTGCGAAAACTCAAGTCAGTCTACTTTAATTCTAAACCGATTGAACAAAGTACAAAACAGCATATCTTTAACATGTGTAGGAGAGGAAGATGACTGCTTGCCATTCTTGGATATATTAATTAGTCGGAAGCAGGATGAATTCATAAAACGATCTATCTACAGAAAACCTAAATGGACAGGGCAGTGTTTGAACTATCATAACATTTGTCCAGTTCAGTACAAGCGAGCGTTAGGTGCTTATTCAACGAATATGTACGGATGATACTTTGGAAGACGAAAGAGGAACACTGCCAGATATTCTGTTGGAAAATAACTATCCATCAAAATTTATTAGGCAGTACAAAACAGTCAGAGCGCCAAAACCAGATCTTCAGTTTATCCCAAAGAAGGATGTCGTTATCAGTCTTCCGTACAAAGGTGACTCTCATAGTGCAATCCTTAAAGAAACTTAGCACTGCTTTTAGAAGGTTCGATTATTAGAAACCGCCAAGCCTATATATTCCCCCAAACCTCCACAGCATGTGAACAAGTATCACATCCCATCGCATATAGGAATTCAAATATACGTTTGGTGACACATACATAGGGGGGACTCATAGATCCATGCAAGTAAGGGCCTTAGAACATATTCCAAAGTGGCTTCACAAGCAAATTAAATCACCTGAACCCATAAACGTTGATAGCAGATGTCCAAGTTCTTGGATCGCGAAACATATTCGTTGAGACAGGTCACAGAATTGACGTGGCTACTTCCTCAGCAAGACGTATTGGGGACGGGTCCGTAAATTTGTTGAGGCCTTAGCTATTAGGATGTTCAAACCACCTTTGTGTGTTCATAAACAAATTGTTGTCACATAAAATCTTCCTTGGTGAATTCAACTGTGAAAACCAAGTTCGATGTGCTATTACTTTCGCTCTATTGATTTTCATTGTAAGTCAGCCTTCCTACTTAACCTCTTTTCATTTCCTCACCCCTTATCTTCATAAATTTTCATAAAAATACCCATGACAAGTACGTGTGTGATCAGATAGTTCGAAATGTGTTTTACTTCCTGTATATATATTTTTCTTTGTCATCATTTTTGAGACTAGAGATATTTTTATACCTGTTGTGTAGCCTCAGAAACCTAAAAGCTAGTTATCATAACTAACACAGTTAGCGTGAGAACATCTCGGAATAAGGGTTGTTTATGAGAAAGCTAGGGGTTGCCAGATAACGACAAAACCAATCTTTGAAGTTTATTACATTCGTGTAATCCGTGTAGATGAGTCCAGACTCTCTACACTAGGTCCGTGAGGTAATAGTAATCATTACTTGAAACAAGACAGCTGGAAATCTATCACAGTTTTGTGTATGCATTCGGTTATTATAATCTCCAAGATTTTGAACAGTTTTACTGATCTATCGTATATTGTACCTATTTTAATACCATTGCCCTTGTGTTCACCTCATCTTTTTGTCGTTTTGTTAATTGAGACAACTTTGACAAATGCATTTCTTTGCTAATATCTCCTTTGGTCTTTGTACTTACTTCTATCAAACGATACCAGCTCCAAAGCAGAATGATAGCAATTGCAAATGTAACTTTTGTGGTTGTTTGAAAACGTGTTTTTCATCTGATTATCTGAGCTTTGGAGTATATGAAAGGTTTTATTACATTTTTGCTTTTCTCATGACTTACTATTATTATGGTTACATACAGCGACTACTTGTTTTGTTCACCTTCAGGTGAACTAGAGAAAAAAAGTAGGCAGCTGCCAAGCATATATGTTTCCACATTCTGCTTGCTAGTACTTTATGTTTTTATCATTTTCGTCCATTCCTTTTACAGGCAGCATCTTGCATAATGTGAAATATTCTTGCAATCTCCACTAAAGCAGGGCTAACTGACTGTGATATGGAAACTTTCAGTTTTCCCAGCTCGATTTCATCTTGTTAAAAGATATCAAAAATATATTCTCTAACCGTTTGTTCATTTTTCTTCTGAATTGAAACTTTCGTAAAAAACATTTAACCTTGTTCAACATGAAAAATTCTGTTGGTTGTCTTAATTTTGATTCAGTTTCCTTAAATTTTATAGGTGCTTATAGTGGTTTTGATACCAGAGAACTTACAAGTCGATCAGATGGTAAAGCCTTAATTGTTGCTGAATTGATGGATAGACTGCATACATCGGTTATGATTATAGGTGATGGAATAACAGACGCAAACGCCTGTCCACCAGCTGAAGTGTTTATTGGTTTTGGTGTAAATATAATCCGCCCTGAAGTTCAAAGTGTATCAACATATTTTTGTACATCTATGGATGAATTACTTGAATTGTTAAGAAGTAATAAAATGTTGAAATAAAACTCTCTTCTCATAGTTCGTTTAATAAATTATACTTTGTGGAAGCATATGTTTAGATACTTATTTTTGGCTTGATAGTTTTGAGTTGCTTTTAAATGAATAGTCGCTAATACCAAGCTGAATGACATTACTGAAGATCTGGCAGTTATTCTGATTGTGTAACATATTATCAAGAGATGACAACTTTGCTTTTTATAGAATGGTAAAAATTCAGACCATGATATATGCATATAAACTGCAGTAATCTAAATTGACTTGGAGATTTGCAGATAGCAGACGGTTTGTAGGTTATGTCTAATTAAAATAAAAATTACTATTATTTTAAATGTAATTCGTCTCAATTTTTTAAATTTTATACACAGTTTGTTCAATAGGGAAATCTGTCTGTCACGGTTCGCGATTCGCAGTGGATCTTTGACTATGAAAGCTCTGTTGGATCTTCCTGTGATGGATGCGAATAAAATCCAACATAGTCTTTTGTTTAGCATATCGTGGTTAAAAGGAATAATGTATTTTCATAATGAGCTAGCATATATATCCCGGGGTAACAGTTTAGGAAATGAAGCTTCTTGACCTCAGGCTCGTCCTTGTATCATAGGCTACACAAACGAAGGTTGGCTTCAGTGAGAATCTAATCACAGTAAAGTGTACAAAGTATTAGTTATTAGCAGTTTTACAATACTCCATAAAAGTTGTGAATCGAACGAATGTAACCTTTCATAGTCTTGCTGTCACTTTAAATTTAGTGAGAAAAAAATTGGATAGCATGGGAATCCCTTAAAAGCTGTTATCAATAGGATAAATTGCAGTTGTCCGTAACCAATACCACCTCTGAGTGTCTACTAGTTTTTTGTTTTTTCCTTGCGTTGTTGATACTGGTTGTATTTTATAAATCGTCAGTTTAGGGAGAAATCTAAAATCAGAGATATTGTTAAGGTTCATTAAAGCACTTTGAGCAAGTACTTCATTAGTGAAGCATGTAATTAAGTTAAACCATTTTTCTTTCCCGTTTATTTTAATCATAATGATCACATCATACAAATCAATAATTGAGTGACTTCGAAAATTTGGACTATTTCAGTCCTTCTTCGATTATCTTGACTTAACTGGATGATTATTTAAGAGCATCATATTGTATCATAGAGGATGATCGACCTTTCACCAACCAGTATAAATGCTTCAAAGAACCAGCATTACTTTCATTTGCAGTTATCATCACCTAAGTAATCTTTTTAAGCCGTGTAACTTATCCACTTAATTGAACTCTACTTTAGTGTTGATGAGGTAACCTAATGACGAACTAAATGCAATAGAAACTTATCATTTGCGATAAAAGTTCGTGTATAAAGTCTAGGTGAACTGAATTTTTATTTCTAGATATTAGTATCTATTAAATGTAAAGAATAACACAATTGATCGAACCAAGTTTTTTTACTGCAAATGAAGGTGACCAAAAGACAGAATTGAGAATCACTGACCTAATCACTTGGTTTTCGCCCAATGGGTCTCCGGTTTAAACCCGTTTTCACCCACTCACATCGACTTGCACAACCAGGTGGAATACCATATGCCTGCGCACACAAGTGTGAATTTGAACGCACTAGGTTTCAAAGTTTTCTAATGAAGAGGAATGAAAATAAAAAAAGTTCATATTTATATTTTTTTCTCTTCATTACTTAGTAGCTGTCAAACAAACTCCAAATCCGGCCTGTTTGTTCCATTCAAACCATTAAGGTAAGACTATATGTGTATGGCCTTAGTAGACAGTGTTCTTTTGTTCACAGGGAAATCTTGAATAACTTTAATTTTGACGAAGTCGATGATAATTCTTATGATTGTTGTTAATGTGTTTTGTTTATCATGGTGTCAAAAACTTGTTGAATTATAGTATTTGTATTCCTTAACTGTCAAATTTACTTTTTTGGACATTCTATCGACACTAGCTAAAAGAGATTTGTTTTAGATATGCATTTTTTTCGTCTTTCTTCAGCACCAGAACCCAACTTTCATAATAATTGAATCTCTTATGCTATTTACACAGAAGTTATGTTCTCATATCATAGTCATATTTGTTTTGAGATCTGATATAATGTGGGATTAAAAGTTATTTCAACTCTTCGAAGTTTATTTTAGTCTAAACGCACAAGCTACACATTATATATAGTTACTTTTTCAAAGAACTTGAATCGATTCAATAAAAGTTAACACTAAGATGTAGATAATTTTTTTCTGAAAACCATCATATTTGGATACGTACGCGTACTGTCAGTTGCTAAAATCTTTCATCAATTGTTATGCAATCGTAGAGTTTACGATAGAAAAAGAGCCATAAGTAGATGCTTTTCGTACACAGTGCAGTAACTGATTCGTGTAATGATTTATCTATACAAAATCTCCGTCAATATGTTTCTCTGTCTGCGTGAATATCTATCGATAGAATCGCATATACTCTTCATACCGTCAAAATACGAAATATTTAAGGAACAAACAGTTTCGACGAACTTTATTTCTTTAGAGATACGCTTACTGAGAATGGTTGGCCCTGTTCGCAGAACTTCGAGATTGGTCATGAGTTTCGCGAATGAAAAGATCGATTACATGAACTTAATGTTGAAAGATGATCTCGGGGAACCGTCTGTTAAGAGGTAGGTTTTTGGATTTAAAATTGAAGCTGATTTTTTTTTATCCACAAACATCTATACATATGTGGAAGGTAATGCCGCTTTTTGTATGCACCTCTATGGGAATCTAACAATTCACCTAGTGGTATGCAGTATATTATCGTAGCCTGTGCATACTTTCAATATTCATATAAGTTAATATTTCGGTGAGGTTTTGAAAACAAGAAATTAAAGGCATTTTGAAGTTTTATTCTTAATTACTTTACTTCAATCCTTGAAGTAGGTCGTAATCATTTCTCTAGGTTTTTATAAAACCTATTTGATTCCCATAAGAGACCTTCGTTTTCGCTTTGTACCTACCACAGAAACTGTGGCTGCTCATGAACTGTTGTATACGATTACAACATTTTCATTTGTAAATTCTTTAGACTATTTCTTGCATTCTTTTTAATTTTTAGACTTAACCACTTCACTTAAGCTTTCCATTATCTTCAATTTGATTGAGAGAACCTCGATTATTTCATCTTAGAAAACTAGATTTATTCAAACTGAATATTTCATTGATACTGGGTGATGATGGAAGGTGAAATGAAAATTTAGGCCACGGCAGGATTCCAACGAGCGACCATCAGGTTTCCAGCTCGGTGCTTTACCAGCCGAACTACATAATTCCTTGTGAAGCGTATCTATGTGCATTTCAAAGACGTTATTCTTTATCCAAAATTTAATTAGTTTAATGTTCCAGTTAAAATAGTCGTGTTACGTGTAATTAAGTTTATGATTATTATGATAGGCGATAGGACATTAAGTACGCAATGATGGACTTCTTTTTGGTTATGTTGTGTTCTCTGGGCTGGGTTGTTTAATCGTGGACTTCTTTGAATTTAAAGTGATAAGTTCCGCAAACAAGTAGTTCACATCTATGTGTACGCCGTCGAAACTTAAGTGGACATGACTATTATGACTGGCTGTATACGAGGTTGTAACTAGTGAAGAAAACCATAAAATATTAGGCCTATATTAACGCAACTGAGAATGACTCAACTGATGAGGTAATTTGTTAAAGTCGCTTTGTTTATTGAATATCCATTCGGTTGTACAATAAGTTGTCAGTCATTTTTTAAATCTTAATTTGTTTCCTGTAAGTGAAGCTGTTACTATCTCAATCTGTGTAACCAACCGATGAGTGTATATTTTAATTGTAGTTCAGTCTTATAAGAATTTAACGAAGGTGAATATTTACTGAGTGATTTAGTCGCATTGTTATGATGAGTGAATCCTATAAACTTGTGTGTACTTCTTCAATTCTTCTTCACTATCAAATATTTTAGTCCTCTAACTAAAACCATTTTAATGAGACGGTTCAATTACCTGAGATTTAAGTTTCATTTCCCTCCCCCATCAGAAGTCAGCATTGGAAACGCCAGAGCGTTATTCACTAGAACACCGAGTCACGATAGCCACTCCTTGTGCAACGAGTATAGTTTTTATGCTGGTATTAATATAAGAGTAAAACTTGTGCACTGTGGTAGAATGTAGTTCCATTTTTATTGATTTATTCGATTTATCACACTGTGTAACAGTATTATTTACTGGATTACTACACAACTTTGAGATGTCCTTTGTATAATCTTAATTTCTTCGAGGAAATTAGGACCATATAAAGGATAGCTGAAAGTTGTGTAGTTATCTTGATATGACTGTGGACAATAAATTATGTCCGAAACGTAGTCCAGTAAACAATACTGTTACACAGTGTGATAAATCTAATAAATCAAAGGAAATGGTTTGTTGTTGCACTGTAATATCAAAGCTATACCTGCCGCATAAAAAGACGCTCTCGTAATTCGGTGGTCTAGTAGATAATGCTCTGGCGTTTGAAGTGATCGGTCCCGTTTTCGAGTCTTAGTTGGGGCAACATTGCTCACTGGGAGGTAGGTACATCAAACCGACGAGTCCTAAATAGAACGAAACGTGCGTCCTGGATTCCACTGCTACCCACTTTCCATCATTACGATAAAATCGAAGTGACAAGCAATATCGAGTCACCCGCGCAGGAGCCCATATGCCGAAAGAGACAAATCAATTCCTACCAAATCAACGGGATAATACAAGCAACAGCGTAAGAACTAATTTTGTTAGGACAACGAATGGTCTTTATGTCCATCAAAACTAGCTAGTCAGTCTATTTCATTAAGATATTGTCCTTTCTTGATGAAAACATTTGTTATTAAGTTAATTCTATGATTGGTTATAGTAGAATGCAGAAAATTTGTTTATCACGTTTTTAAAAGAAGTTTTCAATATGAGATCTTGATCAGTACTTATCACCAACGCGCACTATCATTTCCATATTTTCATAGATTGTTAGGGATTGAAAAAAGTATACTACCTTGCTCGAAATTGCAACAGTTCGAAACGTAAAAGCAAATATGAATAAAGAAATGAAATGATGAAAGGTACTCAACAGATAACTTGAAGAGATATCCAGTAATTAGTTATAAACTAATGAGATTCTCAGCATTCCAAAAAGATAAATAATGCAGGTATCTTCAATATTTCCTTTGAGAGTTGACTGCATCTCTGTGAACTTTTATAAGCTGTAATAACGAAGAGCC